CACTGGTAGACCTCCTGAGGGCCCCTGGTATTTCTGGCCTCTGTGTGACACAGAGTATTGGACTAGATGGACCATTGGCCTGATCCAACATTGGCTTCTCTTATGTTCTTATAAGAGGGAATTAGATAAGTATATGGAGCAGAGGTCCATCGGTGGTTATTAGCCACAAGGTATAGATGGGAACTCTCAGTCTGGGGCAAGTTATACTCTGTATTCTTGGTGCCTGGGGGGGGGCAACAGTGGGAGGGCTTCTAGTGTCCTGGCCCCACTGCTGGACCTCCTGATGGCCCCTGGTATTTCTGGCCACTGTGTGACACAGAGTGTTGGACTGGATGGGCCTTTGGCCTGACCCAACACTGCCGTCTCTTATGTTCTTATGAGGTCCCTTCCAACTCTAGGATTCTCTGCTTCTAAGTCCTGGGTGGCTCTGCAGAGGCAGGCAATGGCAAACCCACCTCTGAACGCCTCTTGCCTTGAAAACCCTACAGGTTCACCCTAAGTCGGCTGCTCCTTGAGGGCCCTTTCTGCCACCCCCAGATCCACCCTTCACTCAGACTCCGAGTCCCCGTATAAGCCAGCTGTTATCGAGCCAGCTGGCAAGGGATTTCCACGCCTTTCCTGTTCTCTCCCTGCTCTGCCGATTCCACGGGCCCTGCGGGGTCCTTGAGAGAGCTGCCCCTGCCGTGCTGTAATCTGGCCTCTCTCTCTTTCTCTCCATCCCAGACGAGGAGGAGGAAGAGGAAGAGGAGAGCGACGAAGAGATGCCCCAGGAACTCTCGCTCAGCTCCGCCGAGTCCAGCAGCCTCACCGCCGAGCCCATGGAGCCGCCTTCGAAGCTGGCGCGGACGGACTCGCGGGGCATCTTCGTGCAGGCGCTGCCCTCCAGCTAGAGCAGCCGGGGAGGGGGGGAGACAGACTGAACCCGTGGCCAGCCAGAGGCCAGGATGCACCTTGCGCCGCGCTGCCCTGTGATAAAAGATGAGCTATTCCCTGTCTCCAAGTGGTATGCAACGCGCTTTCATTTCACGCCGCTCTCCCTGCCCCGACAGGAGGCCGGGGCAGCCCAGGCGAGGCCCCCAGTTTGGAGCACTCGCCCCAAGGGCCCGCACAGCCCCCGGCAGCCATGAAGGTGGGGCCTGCTGTCCGTTTGGCCCCCCGGGCTGGTTGTTGCCTCTTCCCAGGTGCCTGATTTCCACAGGAGGTTGGAAACTGGGTTGCATCTTGTGTGTCCCGCCCCGCCCCTCTGTGGCTGCTTTTTGTGGCCCAAAAGGAGGAAGGGATAATTGCCCGTACCTACCCCCCCCCCCCCCCGGCTCCACTGACCCCGCCAGGCGTGGAGGAGGCTGCCCGGGAGTTGCTGCCGGTCCCGGTCCCCTGCCTTAGTTTTGTGGTTCTGGGAATTCTCGGGCTTCAGGAAGCCCAAGCCCAAGTTTGGTTCAGGATTACCCCCTTTCCGCAGGACACGGCAGGTTGGTCGTGGAGGGCCTGGACTCTTGGGTTGCTCCTTTATCGCCTTCTCTGTCTGTCAGACCAGGAAGTGAGCTCTCTCGGTCTGGCGCACGCTGTGGACGTTCAGACTGCCTCGTGCTAACGGGGGGTGGGGGTGGAGATTCTCATTTGGAGGGAGGCGAGAGCTTCCGTTCTGCGCCACCCCAGTGGTGAAGGCGCTCTCCTTGGCCCACACACAGGCCCATGAACGCGCCCATCCGCCTTTAGAATGAAGTCAGACCGTAACCCGAAGAGTGAGGAGTTGGCAGGTATTCGAGAGAAAAACTCTCAAGTTCGTAGCGCCACCGCCTCCCTGAAATCTGTGCCCGGCAGTTCGTGCAGATTCTTGGAGCTCCGTTGTCCGTGTCTTAAGCCCAGCCTCTCCCCCTTCTCACACAGACATCTCGCTTGACCCCCAAACTACACTGCTTTTTCTTTAAAGAAACGGCCGTTCCCTCTTTCCACCTGGGGGGGGGCGGCGGTACCAGCTGCTGGGTCTCAGCCGTTCCTTGCAGTTTGGGGCTGGTGGGTAGGAAGTGTGCGTCTGGGGCTCATCGGCCAGCCACACCTGCGGGGAGGGAGCCAAACACCGGGGCCAGCCGTTGCTTGGACCGCCACCGTCAAGGGTTCGGGCTCCGGAAGGATTTAACGGGAGCCCCCCCCCCCAGCTGAAAGAGGCGGCCAGAGAGCGGTTTCCACCTTCACACACACACACACCCATTCCACGTGAAGTTTTCGGGGAAAGCCAGTGCGGTCCGGAGGCCTCTCTTGGGGGATACACCATCCTTGTACCACGTTCTGCCACACTGCAAACTTTGGGTCGTCACAGAACCCTTTTGTTTCTGTAGCACGATCCGAGGCAGGCAGGCCAGTCCCGCATCCGGGAGCCGGGCACGGGGCTGCCGTCTCCCTCGATCTGGCGCTCGCAAGGAAAGAGGGAGGCCAGAGACTGCCTTGCCTGGGGTACAGGAGTGCCTGCCCCCCTTGTGCCCTTTCCTCCCCTACTGGCAACCACACAGTGCCCTACTGTGCCCCCACTGCCAGAGGAACACAGCCGACTGGCTTTCCCCGGATGCAAAGACGACTCAAAAGTACCAGGCCAGGGGGGGGGGAGGTGCAGGCAAGAGCCAGGTTGCAGAGGCGGGGGCGGGCAACTTGTGCCCCATTGGGCCGCATCACCAGCACGAAGAAGCCCCAGAAGGCACAGTCAGGCTGGAGCATCAAATGCCCTTTCTTACACTGACACGTGGATTGAACCGGGGGGGTGGAAGGCAGGTCTCGGAGCAAACCGACGGCTCTTAGCTCTGACTTCTGGACAGTTCCTCCAAGCGGTTGTATCATTTGCTCACTTGAAGGTGTTCGGGTGATATGAATGCATCCATTCCCCTCCCTGGCATGCACACAGGAATTTGGCCATCGCCTGGCATTCCAAGTCCCCCTGGCTAGTGCACGCACGTACCCTCAAAGGGGAACTTGCCTCCCCCCGCGGCCTTTCCGTTCCCAGTAACCCGCTCGCTTGCTGCAGGACGGCCTGCAAAACACTTCTCCAGATAAGTGGGTCGCGCCTCCGCTTCACTCCACAAGGCAGCCACCACGCATGGCTTTAGGGCAACCCACCCAAGCCAGCCCGGCTCTAAAGAAGGTCTCCTTTCTTAAAGATTGTTCCCCTGGCCAGGAAGTCGGCACATTTCTCCTCTTTTCAACTGGGGAAGGAGAGAGGTGCCAAACCAAAAGGCTGCCTTGAAGGGGAGGGGTCTGGGAGTGGTTTTGGGGGCACATAGAGCACCTGTCAAGTTTTTAGCTATCCTAAGGCTTGTCCCCCTCCCTTTTTGCTGGGCTCACAGCCAAGTCCCCCAACCTACACAGGACGGGCTCAGCCTTTCAGAGAAGCACCTTTGTTGACCATACAGGTCTCTCTCCGCGGTTTTCACTAACAATCCACAACCACCGCATCCTTTTTCCACCGTCGCAACCCATCTTCACAACACGCCATTCCCGGTTGTACGTTTATAAAACGGAAATCAATTTTTGTCGTCTCCGAGATGGCCGGGTGTCCAGCGGGCGGGTGACAGGGACATTCCCTGCTCCAAACCGATAAACACTTAAGGGGCGGGCGGTAGTCAAGGTCAAAGAAACGGAGCCTGTCTCTCAGGGCCTCACCTGCCCCGGCTTCTCCAGCACCTCTTTTAGCTTTAGAAAAGCCCTCTCGCAGCATAAATGGATCTTGCCGGTTTGCTCCACCTTTGCTTCTACGAGCTAGCTATTCCTTCTCCAAAGCGTGCGGAAGGGCCGATCTGCCGGTCACGCAGGACTCTATGACATGAGCGAGCTTACCTTTTTTAATTTTTTAAAATTCAGTTGCTGCCTTATCCAATGACTCACCTGCTCTCCCCCAAACCGGGATCCCCTCGTCCACCGAGCGGGCTGGATGCAGAGCACCCAGGGGGGCGACGGCTGGCTCGGCCTGCTTGCCCCATCCGGCAGGAACACGCATCGGAGAAGCCGTTCTCGCTCAGCCCACACACCCTCACCCCTTCCGTGCCAGCAAGCAAGCAAAACGGATCTGGTTACTTCCTGGGTTATTCCCTCCCCCGGGGGGGGGGGGGGGGAAGTAACCAACCTTCTGGTTTGTAACTGAATATTAGATATTCTAGTTTTAAAACAAGCAAACAAAAAAAAAATCTGTGCTTTTATATGTAATTACTAATTCTTGTTCTATAAACCACCTTCAATATTGTGAGATTTGGTGAAGATAAATTACTTGATATTTTTGGGTTTTTCAACCATCATGGCCTTATTTGTTCCGATTTTTCCAGTGTTTTAAACCTGTGAGATAGATGTTTATTGCAAAAATCTACATATTGTATAAAAATATATATTTTGTGTCAATTTTTTGTGCGGCGGCAGCGGCGGTGGCAGCTCCGGCTGCTGCACGATAGACTTCCAGTGGAGTGTGAAGAGCTTTGTAGGTGTCCCGGGCCCATCCGATGGGCAGTGCCTGTGGTCAGCTGACGTGCGTGCGTGTGCGTAGTCTAGAGTGCAAACGCTGTTTTCTACCTTTTGTAGTTCTTTCTTAAAAGAAATAAATTCAGCCGTGTTCTTTGCCTAGGATGCCGTTTCGCTCACTCTCGCCGCCATAAAACTCCACTGTCGGGGCTTAGCCGCGTGTTCCGAACTCAAAGCAGGACGGCCTCTGCGCAGATCGGCTTGGGCACAAGGTTTGAAGCAGCTGCTTTAAGGGGAAAGGGAGACGAGCACAGACATCACTAACCTGAAGCGTAGTCCCAAAAACCAAGCCGGGGTCAAGAGCCAGGAACACAGAGCCAAGTCCAAAGCTAGGGGGTCCGAAGGTCTAAGTGCAAGAACCGAGCCAGAGTGGATGCAAGCAGCACAAAGTTGACTCGTTGCTTCCACGAAGAGTACTGCCCAGAGTGTGGAGTTAAACAGCTGCTACCAATTAGCCAGCTGCACGATCGCCCAGGCTCCAGTTAGAACTCTGGGCTAGCTGAGCGTCTCCCCTGTAGCCTGGCCTCTTGTCACCTGGTTGCTAAGTTTTGCCGCAGTCGCTCCCTTACACGTGGGGGTGAGTCAGGAGGGCTTGCAATTCTTCCTTCTTCTCTGGGCCGTGTGAAGAATGCCGTTACAGGCAACTGCCAGCTAGCCTCCTCTGCTGCTTCGGAGGGGCCAGCTGCGGTTCCTTCTTGCAGCTCTGTCGGCTCTCCCTCATCCACACCCGTGACAAGGAGCATCTTAGAGGCCAATAAGATTTGGGGGGTATGAATTTGGAGAGTCAAAGCTCAGATGCTTGCAGAGTTCCATATTGCTGTTCCCCATCACACTCAACAGCTGGTGAAACCAGTGAGCCAGTCTGGTGTCGTGGTCAGGAGCGTGGACTCTAATCCAAGAGAACCGGGTTGGATTCCCCCAGTTCTCCACATGCAGCTGCCGGTGTGACCTTGGGTCAGTCACAAGTCCTCTCAGCTGTTTTCTCAAGGGCAGTCCTCAAAAGCGCGCTCTCAGCCCCGCCTACCTCACAGGGTGACTATTGTGGGGAGGGGGAGGAGATTTGTAAGCCGCTCTGAGACTCCTTTGGGTAGCAAAGGGCGGGGTATGAATCTCATCTCTTCTTATACCAGCCGCATAAGAACACAAATATGAGAGCCACCAGCCGGAGGGAAGGGTTGCAAGTGAGCTCTTCTGGAATAGTGCCTGTTACACACAAACCTGAGGAAGTCTGTTAACAGCAGAGCGTTTTGGAGGTCATTCAATCACAGGGTCGTTGTTCCAAGTCAGAAGCAACCTAGTGGCACATCAGCACACACACGTAGAGGCCTGCAGGTGGGTGGGCAGTGAGGTGAAAAGCCCCTTATTCCGTCAGAACTGGACCCAGCCTGTCGCGCTCTGTCTCAAGCCAACACGCTGTGGCGGCCACCAGTCAGAAGAGGAACAGCTCAACCCTCAGAATAGGCCACGTCTCACGGGGAAACTTCCGACTGGCGCTCTTACAGCTCAAGATGGGCAGCCATGTCTGGTCTCCAGCAGCAGAAGAGGGCAAGAGCTCAGGGGCACCTTAATGACCAACAAAATTGGTGGCGGGAGAGGAGCTGTTGTAAGTCACTGCTCACTGCTTCAGATCCCCGAAGAAGCAAGCAGTGACTCCTGAAAGCTCCTGTTGTCGTTCACGCGCATAGTCAAGTCTGACTCTTTGCAGCCCCCTGGACCACATCACGCCGGGCCCTCCTGTCTTCCGCCGTCCTCCGGAGTTTGCTCAACTTTATGTTCGTTGCATCAGTAACACTGTCTGACCACCTCATCCTTTGCCGTCCCCTTCTTCTTTGACCTTCAATCTTTCCCAGAATCAGGGTCTTCTTCTCCAGGGAGTGCTCCCTTCTCATTTGGTGGCCAGAGTATTTGAGCTTCAGCTTCAGTCTCTGGCCTTCCAGGGAACAGTCAGGGCTGATTTCACTGAGGATTGACTGATTCGATTTCCTTGCAGTCCAGGGGACTCTCAAAAGCTCCTATGCTGCCACAAATTTTAAGGTTTTAAGGTGCTACTGGACTCACACGCTTTTCTACTACTTACAGCTCCAGGAGGGCGAGAAATTCCCCTCCTGCAGCAATGGCAGATCTCGTTCAGCACCACCACCCCAGCATCTTAGCACCTCGATACGGAGTACTAGCAGTTCATGGGAAACACGTCTAAAATGCTTGTGGGTTTAAATTCACTGCTGCTCCCGCCCGATGGTAAAACAAACAGCAGAAAGCCAAAGCTGAAGGTGGGGTGGGGGGAGCGTGTTCTAGGAACCACGAGGTCCAACGGCGAGCACTCTCAACACCCGTCAGTAGACTCCCCCGCTAGAAACCCCCATCCAGAGCACAAGAACCAGCCACGAGACAGACTCAAATTTAACGTTTATTGCAGGGAACAGAAAGCCTGCTTGAGATAAACTAAAAGGTGTGTGGGGGGGGGGGAATGCACATTTGTGGCCCATCCAGGGGAGAGGGAGAGATGGCATCTAAACTTGAGGGTGGGGGGGAGAGATGGCTTTCCCAGTGAAAGCACAGAGATGCTATGTTTGGTCTCCGGCATAGACTCATGGCCCCAGACGCGTTCATGCGTCAGCATTCCAACGTAGCCCTGGGGGAGGGCGAGCCCTGGAGGAGAGACCCCCTCCCTAGAGTCTTGCTAAGTTCACACGGGCCTGCTTGCTGCGGAGGGCCCCCCGTCTGCACAGCAAAAACAGCTGCCTTCTGGGAATTCTCCGGCAGCGGCACGCTGGCCGTTCGGCTGGCCGGACTAGCCCGCCGGGAGCGGAAGGCCGTTCAGAACGCCTGGGTCAGCCTTACGGCTCCCGCCCCAGAGAGAGAGAGAGGCGACGAAGCCCAGGGTGCGGTCCCACCCAACTCAAAACGAGGCCGTCTGGCCGAGGGAGGGGGGAAATTAAAAAAAAACACGACTTTTCAACATGGAGGTAGTTGAATCCGACACGGTTATGGCAGGGAATGAACTACTGAAGCTTTCACAAGACGATCCACGTGTAGCGCTCGTTGTCTGCGAGGAATTTCAAGGAGCAGCCTGCAGGGGGGAGGAGGAGAAGAAGAAGAGATTGGATTTCTACCCCGCCCTTCACTACCCAAAGGTGTCTCAGAGCGGCTGACAAACTCCTTTCCCTTCCCCTCCCCACAACAGACACCCTGTGAGGTAGGCGGGGCTGAGAGAGCTCTGACAGAAACTGCTCTTATTAAGAACAGCTCTTATCAGAACTAGGGCTTGCCCAAGGTCATCCAGCAGCTACGAGTGCAGGAGTGGGGAATCAGACCCGGCTCTCCCAGATTGAAGTCCGCACACGTAACCACGACACCAAACTGGAGGAGGAGGGCAAGCTCGTGACATTGTGGGGCCGAAGGACGCCCCCCCCCCCCCGCAGGAAAACCCCCCCCCCCCCCGGCAGGAACACCTCCCTCCCACTGCCTCACAGGCCCCTCCAGGCGGCATTTTAGAAGGAAATCACGACCCCAAGCCAGAAGGGGGGTTTGTCTGGAACCTTCCCACTGTTATGGGAGCCACGGCCCCCTGAAGCCCCTTCCCCCCAAGGCCAAGCAGGGCAGAGCCCCGCCGATCAGGAGGAAGCCGTCTCTGTCCCGGAAGCGAGACGGGCCACCCGACTGTCCTCTCGTCAGCAGCACTGCGCTGGGAGCACAGAACCCGCGAGAGCTCCTTGGAAGACCTGTCCTCTTCTGAAGAGCAGGGAGAGACGAGGCCCTGCAGGAGTGGACAAGCCTTACTCTGGCTATCTTGGGTGTCTCTGCATCGGCTTGGCGCAGGCTGGCGGATGGCGCTGCTGGGCTGTCTAACAGCGGCCTTGGGGGAGGTCCCATGGAGCCAAGCACAGGAGAGCCGGCAGATTACCTTTATGAAGGGCCTCGTTGGTCATTCTGTTGACGTAGCGACCGCTGCTCTCGGGCACCAGCCACTTCATCACCATGTCCACGCAGCTCTTCCGGTAAGAGCTCCACACACTGCCGCTGAGGGAGAGAGGAGGAGGAGGAAGAAGAAGAAGAGATGATTGGATTTATACCCTGCCCTTCACTACCCAGAGGAGTCTCAGAGCAGCTGACAATCTCCTTTCCCTTCCCCTCCCCACCACAGACACCTTGTGAGGTAGGCGGGGCTGAGAGAGCTCTCTCAAGGACTGCCCTTGAGAGAACAGCTCCAAAAAAACTTGTCACTGATCCAAGGTCACCCAGCAGCTGCATGTGGAGAAGTTGGGAATCAGACCTGGTTCTCCCAGATTAGAGTCTGCACACTTAACCACTGCACCAAACTGGCTCACCTTGATGAAGAGGTGTCTTTAAGCGCCCCCCCCCCCCCGGCCAAGGTCTCCGCAGGTCCCTCGACCCACCTCTGCAGAACACGGAGCCCAAAGCCCCCAGAGGGGAGAAGGCATGCCTGCCTCCCCCTTCCTGCTGCCTTGGGGGCACCTGGTGGGCCTGGATCTGTCGCCTCCGAGAATAGCGTCAGAGCAGGGATGACTGAGCAGCGGCTCTTGGCCGGTTCCCCTAAGTTCCCTCGACCGCTTGCGGGGCAAAACCCACCATCCTGGTCTACCCCTCTCCAAGGCTCCCTCTAAGCTGTGGGGTCTTCAGAGCAAAAATTCTACTTTGTGAGCTACCGACATTCAAGTTGTGAGCGAGCGATTTGGCTGCTGCATAAACTAGTTTGCTCTGGAGCCCTCCTTCTGTGAGCCGGAGGCTAAAAAACTGTGAGCTAGCTCACACTCACTCAGCTTAGAGGGAACACTGCGCCCTCTCCCCACTCAACAAAAGAGGAATTTGGCCAGCCAAAGGACTTCTCCAAAGAAAGCAGTGCAACCACAACAAAGAGGGCAGGCATAGAAATGAAGGGAAGCCAAGAACTGCAGAGTGGGGGGAGTGGCTTGGGTCGAGCTGGAGTTTGTCCGGCCAAAGTCTGTCTTGCCCATCTGGCCGGGAAGATGTTGGCACAGCATCCCCAGCAAGCACTGGAACGAGCTGCCTGAGACGGGCGCCTGCTGAGGGAAGGACAGCCCGCACTGCCCAGCTGTATCCTACCTGGTCTGCCCTTTGACCTCGGTGAGATCCCCCACGCTGACGGTGACAAAGACCCCCGTGTTCAGGTCCCACGCCACTTTGAGGCTGGTGTGATAGGTCTTTGGCCTGCAAGGGGGTTTGGACGCAGGGAGAAAAGAAAATGAAGAAGAAAAAGAGAAGGGATTGGATTTATACCCTGCTCTTCACTACCCGAAGGAGTCTCAGAGCGACTTACAAACTCCTTTCCCTTCCCCTCCCCACCACAGACACCCTGTGAGGTAGGCGGGGCTGAGAGAGCTCTCTCGGGGACTGCTTTTGAGAAAACAGCTCTGAGAGAACTTGTGACTGACCCAAGGTCACACTGGCAGCTGCAGGTGGAGGAGCGGGGGATCCAACCCGGTTCTCCCAGATGAGAGTCCACGCTCCTTGCCACTGCACCAAACTGGCTCTCTCTAATTTAGATGTGAAACTCAGTAAATTCCTGAACGCAAAAACTGTCCCTGTCAAGGAATAGTACATTCAAGCATGTGATGTTTTGAAAATCACCACCCCTACCAGATATTCCCCAAGACTGCTCCAGAACTTCAGTCCTTCAGAGTCCGGTGGCCAATTAATCTTGGTGCTCAACCCTAAAGCTTCTCTTCAGACTGAAAGGGGCCTGGCGACCGAGGGCCAGATCTTAATGCAGGGTTGCTGTGCAGACTACAAGGAAGCAACAACACTGGGGGAAAACAGAATGGTGATCCCACTCAAGCACTCAAGATATGTAAGCAAATGCAGAGTCACTTTTATACTCGTCACTTTTATGACTGCTCCACTGCTATTAGCATTGTAACTTGCAGCGTCCTAATGAATGTTCCTTGGCTACCAGCAGTATCAATTGTACTGTCTTGTTATATATCACTGAGATATTGTACAGTATTGGCTATTATGCCTTGTATGTAATTTTGTATATTTTGGGATAGTAAGTAAAGGTTCCCTTGCTTGAAAGCCAGTCGAGTCCGACTCTAGGGTTGCGGTGCTCATCTCCGTTTCAAAGCCGAAGAGCCAGCGCTGTCCGAAGACTTTTTCCGTGGTCATGTGGCCGGCATGACTAAACACTGAGGCGCACGGAACGCTGTTCCCTTCCCACCAAAGTGGTACCTATTTATCTACTTGCAATTTCTGGCTTTCGAACTGCTAGGTTGGCAGGAGCGGGAACTAGAGACGGGAGCTCACTCCGTCATGCGGCACTCGGGTCTCGAACTGCTGAACTACTGACCTTCCACAGCCTGCAGTTCAGTGTCTTAACCACTTGTGCCACCGCAGCTAGTACCTGAGTATAAAAGTGACTGCATTTGCTTACATATCCGAGTGCTTGAGTGGGTTCACCATTCTGTCTCCCCCCAGTTTTGTCCCTTCCTTGTAGTCCTTGCACCGGGAGGTCTGTTTCCTTTGCTTTGGGTTGCTGTGCAGAGGCAGGCCAGGGCAAACCGCCTCTGCTCGCCTCTCGCCTCGACCGGGACGGCCCCGGCTAGCCCGCTATCTCACTGTGAATCCAAATCGAGGGCGTTTCAGCAGGTGACGTGGTCTCTGGGCGGGGGAGAGCGTTAAGGGAGGCCCAGCACGAGCCCGGCAGACTCACCGGAGCTGTCCCTCTTCGTCGGGGGAAGGAAAGGCGAGGAGTAGGAGTCCAATATTGATGATCACTTGGTTGGTTTCTGGACACACCTGGGGAGACGAATTCAGCAACTGGCAAATTACGCTACTTGGGACCAACGCTCCCTTCTAAGCTGTGGAGCCTTGTGAGGGAAAACTCTACTTTGTGAGCTGCCGGCATTGAAGTTGTGAGCGAGCGATTGGGCTGCTGCAGAAATAACTGTGCTCTGGAGCCCTCCTTCCTGAGCCGAGACAAAAAATGTGTGAGCTGGAGGCTAAGAAACTGTGAGCGAGCTCACACTAACTCAGCTTAGAGGGAACACTGGTTGTAAGCCAATGCACCCTCTATGCTGTGGAGTCTTGTGAGCAAAAAACTCTACTTTGTGAGCTGCCGGCATTAAAGTTGTGAGCGAGCGATTTGGCTGCTGCATCAATCAGTTTGCTCTGGAGCCATCCGTCCTGAGCGGAGACAAAAAATGTGTGAGCTGGAGGCTAAGAAACTGCGAGCTAGCTCACACTAACTCAGCTTAGAAGGGACACTGGTTGTAAGGCAATGCACCCTCTAAGCCAGTGGTTCTCAACCTTCCTAATGCTGCGACCCTTTAATACAGTTCCTCATGTTATGGTGACCCCAAACCATAAAATTATTTTCGTTGCTATCATAAGACCATCGAAAATTTGTGTTTTCCGATGGTCTTAGGCAACCCCTGTGAAAGGGTCGTTCGACCCCCAAAGGGGTCGCGACCCACAGGTTGAGAACCGCTGCTCTAAGCTGTGGAGTCTTGTGAGCAAAAACTCTACTTTGTGAGCTGCCGGCATTAGAAGAAGAAGGAGAGATTGGATTCATACCCTGCCCTTCACTACCCAAGGGAGTCTCAGAGCAGCTCACAAACTCCTTTCCCTTCCCCTCCCCACAACAGACACCCTGTGAGGCAGGTGGGGCTGAGAGAGCTCTGACAGAAACTGATCTTTTTCAAGGACAGCTCATCAGAACTATGGCTTGCCCAAGGACATCCAGCAGCTGCAAGTGGAGGAGTGGGGAATCAAACCCGGTTCTCCCAGATTAGAGTCCGCGCACTTAACCACTGCACCAAACTGGCTCATTAAAGTTGCAAGTGAGCGATTTGTCTGCTGCATCAATCAGTTTGTTCTGGAGCCATCCTTCTTGCGCTAGTCGAATGTGTGAGCCGGAGGCTAAAGAACCGTAAGCTGGCTCACACCAGCTCAGCTTAGAGGCGACAGGGCTTGGGACTCAAGCGGCACTTGGTTGCGTTCAGGCTAAGCGTCGGCAGAACCCCCCGCCCAACGCGCTCCTGGACAGACAGCGCTGAGGCCCAGGCGGGTGTTCCTCCCGGCAAGCTTTGGGCTTTCAGCCACTCTGACAGTCGGGGGTGAGGTGAGAGAACACACCAGGGGCCCCCACAACCTCCCAGAGCCTGCAGGCACCGCAGGGATCTTGTGGGGGGATGTGGAGCGCTGCTTAACATGGCTCCGGCAGGAGGTGGCGCCAAACCCCAAACGGCTGCCACACAAGACAGGGCCCAGTGGAATACCTCCTCCTGGCCGTTCTCGGGAAGAAGGAAAGCCTGAAGAAACAATGGGAATCGTTCCTCGGCTGAGGAAATCCTAGGGGCCGACGAGCCCGCCTGATCCTCCAGCAGCTGACGTGGAAAACCCTTTTGTTTGAATAAAGGCAGCTCGCAACAAGCCCAGCCTTGCAACGGTCCCTCTCGCTTTCTGAAAAGCCTGCTGGGCACCAAGGGAAGTCCTTGCAGGCGTCATGGCGCCCCTGGGCACCATGTTGGGGAACCCTGGAATAGGCTGTCCTGAGGGATGCTGTTAAGGGGTTATCCTCAAATGATCCGGTCATTTCTCTTTCTACCTCCCCCACCGTACCACCACCACCCCCAAGCACCAGGGGCTGCAACAGCCCGGGCTCCCGGGCTCAAGAGCGTGGCAGGGACCCCTCCCTTTGTGAACCGAAAGAAGTCTTTAGGGCTATCCCCCTCACGTCCCTCCTGAGTACCTCTCCTGAGCAAGGCTCCCTCCAAGCTGTGGAGTCTTGTGAGCAGAAATTCTACTCTGTGAGCCACTGGCATTAAAGCTGTGAGCGAGCCATTTGGCTGCTGCAGAAATCAGTTTGCTCTGGAGCCCTCCTTCCTGAGCTCAGACAAAAATGTGTGAGCCGGAGGCTAGAAAACTGTGAGCTCGCTCACACTCACTCAAGCTTAGAGGGAACACTGCTCCTGAGCCATACAGGAATTAGCCCCTTCCCGGGAAATGAGCGGTAAAGAACAGCTGCAGACTTTGTATTCCAGAACTGGCAGAAAGATGTTTTTGGCCCCCCCCCCAACTCAAACGTCAGGAGGCCTTAATGTGTAACTGATCGGGCTGCAAAACCAGCCAGCGCGAGAGGGATGCGGGTAACGTAAGAAGGGCAGTGCCAGATCAGCCGACCAGCGGCCTCTCTGGTCCAGCATCCTACTTCACACAGCAACCAAACACGCACTGCTGCTGCTCTGCACTGCTGTTATTCAGAGTGTTGCAACCTCTGTGCTTTCCTTTCACGGTGGGAGCCAGCAGCCACTACAGGACCCACCCCACGTGAAGGGTTCAAGCCCCTCTTGTAGCCTAAGTCCCACAAGAATACTAAAGGAAAGGCTCCTACGCATTTCCAGCTCAGAAGAGAACATTAAACTGGCAGGTCAATGCAAGAGGCTCGTGGTTAAAGATGCTTCTGCAGCGTACGCCAGCCAGAAATTTCCTGGCCGCTGTCCTTCCACGAAACTCGGGCGAACTACTGAGAATTCCACTACTTGGAACACCCTGAAAAAGGAACGGGCCGTCTGAACGGGTGCCTGGGACGTTCCTACCTCCAAGATGACGATGTCGTAGTCGCTGAAGGAGCAGAACTGCTTGGACCACGAGGCGTCGTTCCGGATGACCTCGTTGATGACGTACTCGAAATCCAGCGTGAGCTGCTCCACCGTCAGATACTGGCCCTGGAAAGAGAGCCAAAGATGTGGCTTCCGTCCAAGGCAGGCGTCTGCGCCTCCTGTCCCTCTCAAGAGCCTCCTCTTCGGGCAGAGATTTATGGCAGGCCTAGAACAGCGCGCTCCACCGCCAGCTCCAGGGACCTGCCAACAGTTCTCTCTTTTTCCCAATCCCATTTCCCCCCTAAGAGACCCGGCGATGTTTTGACTGCAATGGCATTTTCACAATCCTAAAAAGGTCACGGTATGAACAGCGGTTCAATGCTGGGCTGACTGACCATAAAGAAGAAGAAGAGACTGGATCTATACCCTGCCCTTCACTCGGAGTCTCAGAGCGGCCTACAACCTCCTTTCCCTTCCCCCTCCCCACAACAGACACCCTTGTGAGGTCGGTGAGGCTGAGAGAGCTCTGCCAGAAACTGCTCTTTTTCAAGGACAGCTGTGCCAGAACTATGGCTTGCCCAAGGGGAGAAGTGGGGAATCACACCCAGTTCTCCCAGATTAGAGTCCGTGCAGGGCTCTTTTTGTAGCAGGGACTCCTTTGCATATTAGGCGACACACCCCCTAATGTAGCCAATCCTCCAAGAGCTTACAGTAGCCCCTGTAAGAAGAGCTCTGTAAGTTCTTCGGCTGAAGCGGCTCCAAGTCAAAGCACTGTCCATGAAAGAAGATAAATGGGAGACCCGTCTCAGACACAGAAACGGCAGATAAAAACACTGAACTGAAAGCAGGAGGAAGGGTATGAAACAAAGAGGGGTGGGGAGAAGGTGCACAAGACGCCTTTGGACGGATAGCGACTGTTAGATGAATTCTATGTGTTTCAGTGTCCTGGGGGAAGGTCGCGGTGGGGAGGGCCCTCCAAACATGGACATGCCACCTAAAGCGCCTCGTCTCTGGTAGCCCCCCCACACACACACCTTCTTTCGTATTCTCTCGGTGAAGGCCACCGATAGGACCTGAATTTTGAACTGCTGTGGTATGAAACAAAGAGGGGTGGGGAGAAGCAGCGCAAGACGCCTTTGGACAGAGAGTGATTGTTAGATGAATTCTACGTGTTTCAGTGTTCCTAGGGGAAGGTCGCTTCTGGCAAGATTCAAAATGACACGAAATCTTCAAGTATGTTCCAATCAGCTAGGAATCAGGCTCTGATCAGACCTCGTGTCATCTATTGCATGCTTTCTTCTGGAAACTCTTCTCTGCACAGAAGGTGACTGCATCAATCTGAAGAGAGACTTGTACTTTCAAGGTCGATTAGGTCACGAGTCAATTGGTGCAGTTGTCATTGATGCATGGTGGCAAAACTATTTGTTCTGCGTTTTCATTTTGGTTGCAAGTAGTCTCGAACTCCTGACCTACTGACCTTCCATAGCCTGCAGTTCAGCGTCTTAACCACTTGAGCCACCGCAGCTCCTCCTTCTTTCTTTCCCCCCACCTTCTTTCGCATTCTCTCGGTCAAGGCCACCGACAGGACCTGCATTCTGAACTGCTGTAACTTCACGCAAAACTAGCCTGTCCTGTTTAAAACATCATCTACTCCAGGGGTGGCCAAACTGTGGCTCCGGAGCCGCCTGCGGCGCTTTCACACCACCCTCGGCTCTTTCACACATCCTGGGCGGCTCCCGGCAGGGCGGCTGGGGAAGCGAAGGGCAGGCATGCCTCCTCGATCGGTCTTCCCTTCCCCAGCCAGGGTTCCCCTCCCTGGGTAGGCTTGGGGGGGGGGAGCAGAGAAAGAAAGCATTCTCAATCCCCCACCCCCCTTTCCGGCCAGCTTGGAGAAGGCATTTGTCTCTTTAAGTCCCTTCGCCAAGCCAGCTGGTGGGGGGGGGGCGCCTTGGAGGATGCATTTAAAGTTACAGTTGCTTTCTTTCCACCTCTCCCTCCCTCCCCCATCTAGTTGCTTTCTTTCCACCTTCCCTTCTCTTTCTCCCTTCCCTTCTTTCTCTTGCTTCCTTCCCCCTCCCTCCCTCCATCTCCTCTCTCTTTCTTCCCACCTTCTTCATTCTTTCTTTCCACCTCTCTCTCTCAGACAAATAAATATAATTAGCAAACAAATAAATATCATTGGACAAATAAATATTATCAATACCTGTTTTTACCCCTTTTGTTCTTATTTCCGGCAGTCTCATTTAATTTTTACCAAAAAGCACATCTGCATATTTTCCAATTAAAAACATTCATGTAATATTTATTCATGCCTTGCGGCTCTCAAACACCTGATGTTTATTCTATGTGGCTCATGTTGAGGGAGTTTGGCCACCCCTGATCTGGGATAAGTACCTTAAGTGTAGATAAAGGGAGACTGCACGTTTTCACCTTTTCTTTGTACTCCTGAATAGCCTGTTCGTATAGTTATTTATTCATTTTTTAAACCTTATATTTTGCATGCTCCAAGCCTGATCTCTGGAAACACACCACGCCTATTTTGGGTGTAGTGGTTAAGTGCGCGGACTCTAATCTGGGAGAACCGGGTTTGATTCCCCACTCCTCCACTTGCACCTGCTGATGTGACCTTGGGTCAGTCACAAGCTGTCAGAGCTGTCCTTGAAAAAGAGCAGTTTCTGTCAGAGCTCTCTCAGCCCCACCCACCTCACAGGGTGGGGAGGGGAAGGGAAAGGAGTTTGTCGGCCACTCTGAGACTCCCTTGGGTAGTGAAGGGCGGGGTAGAAATCCAAACTCTTCTCTTCTCTATTTGGTCGTGCGGTGACGCGGAGGGGCAGCGAGTCAACTCACCACCCTCAGAGCAGGACTGCTCAATCGGCTGCCTCTGCACTCGCCTGAAGGAGAGAAGCGGGAGGGGCGCCAACTAGGCGGAGCCTCTAAAAGGGCAACGCAGGTACAGAGTGCGAGATACGGGACTCAGATCAGCAGGAGAGACTCTCAGAGTTGCTGGTGGCAGCAGGGATTATTTATTTCTGGTGTCTTCCTCGGAGTAAGGGAAAGGGGCAAAATTGCCCAGCAGTGACTTGGGATGTTTGCTGGCTTTTCTAACCTCCTGCGGATCAGACCGTAGGAACATGGGACCTTGTGAGTCTTGTTACTTCACACCTCCAATCTGAGGCAGACCTGCTCCGACTCTCTTACGTCAGTGGTGCTCCTTTAGCACAGGCCGGGGGGGTCGCGGGGCACCAACCAAGCCACACAAGCCCCGGGGAGAAAAGAACTGGGCACAGTTCTGGTCCCCACACTTCAAAAATGATATTACAACACTGGAAAAGGTGCAGGAAAGGGCAACTGATATGATTAAGGGTTGCTCACAAGACTCCACGGCTTAGAGGGAACATTGGCTCTGACTCTCTTACGTCAATGGTGCTCCTTTGGCACAGCCCGGGGGGTGTCGGGGGGCACCAACCAAGCCGCACACTCATAAGCCCTGGGGAGAAAAGGACTGGGCACAGTTCTGGTCCCCACACTTCAAAAATGATATTACAGCACTGGAAAAGGTGCAGGAAAGGGCAACTGATAGGATTAAGGGTGTGACAAAATGGCATTTACCTGGGTGTGCACGATGGAGGCCGTCTGTAGTTGGCGTTTAAAATGGTTCCCCATAAGGGTAAGTGGCCTGTCGTGCCGGACGGGGCCCTGCAGGGCTAACCCTCACCGGGTTGACTGGGACTTCCTCATTTGCCTGGCTACATTTCCCAGAAGTGCTAGGGGAAAAGAGCAGGAAAATCTGGACACACCCCAGGGGCGGAGCCAGGGAGATAAAGGCTTTGGCTCCTGAGGGGGGAGTTCAGTCTCTCAGCCTGGTCTTCAGCCTTTGGGCTCAGCGTGGAGGGCAGCTTCGAGGGAGCGGACAGGTGGGGGCTCCTGTGACCTCAAGCTCCAGGGCCTCCAGACCACTATCAACCGTGGCGGACAGCCGGGAGGGCAACAGTACCAGTGACCAGTCCTGAGGGAGGGCTGGAGGGGTTTCTCCACAACAACAGGAGGGGGGAAGCAAAACCCATCCTGAGGCCCACAGCCTCCAGAGATAGTGAGGGTGTGTGTGTCGGGGACAGAGGAATGGCGGTTTAAATCGTGTTTATTTTCTGCCCAGGCTGTGTTCATGTGCTCGTGTTGATTTTCTGCGCTTAACTTGTAAATAGTTAAAATAAATCTTCTTTTTGGAATTCTAAGACCTGGTGTGCCTTGACCACTTAGTCCTCCCCGCGCAGCGCATTACCAGAAGGGAACCCAAACAGGCCCAAATCAGAGGGGTTGCCAACTCTCCAGGGGAAAGATTATGATACCAACTTCCCAAGGGTGGGGGAATCAGCCAGAGGGGTCTCACCGACCCTCTAGGAAGGCGGTGTCAATCCAGTGAGTGGTGGCAGCGTGTAACGAAGGGAAATAGCCCCACCGGGCAGGGTGGGAAGGCAAAAACAGGGGCTTGCGAGCCACAGAATGGCTGCTCAGTCTCCCAGGGCTGAGGGTGGGTCCCCGTTTCGCCACAAAGGGGATGGAACACCTTCCGTATGAAAGAAAGGTTGAAGAGGTTAGGGCTCTTTAGGCTGGAGAAACGACAATTTGAGGGGTGCAAAGTGATGCACATTGGAGCCAAAAATCCTTTCTATAAATACATGCTGATGGGTCCAAACTGGCAGAGACTGACCGAGAGAGAGATCTTGGACCCATAGTAAACTCACTGAAAATGTCGAGACACTGCGCAACTGCAATAAAAAAGACCAATTCTATGCTGGGGGTTATTAGGAAGGGAACTGAAAACAAATCAGCCAGTATCATCATGCCCCTGTATAAATTGACGGTGCGACCCCATTTGGAGTACTGTGTACAGTTCTGGTCACCACACCTCCGAAAGGATATTATAGCATTTGGAAAAGTGCAGAAAAGGGCAATTAGAATGATAAAAAGGGTTCAGAACACTTTCCCTATGAAAAAAGGTTAAAACGCTTAGGGGTCTTTAGCTTGGAGAAACGACGGCCAAGGGGTGACATGATCGAGGTTTATAAGATGATGCATGGGAAAGAGCAGGTAGAGAAAGAAGTCCTTTTCTCCCTTTCTCACAATACAAGAAGTCGTGGGCACTCCATGAAATTGCTGAGCGGTCGGGTTAGAACGGATAAAAGGAAGCCCTTCTTCACCCAAAGAGTGATTAACACATGGAATTCACTGCCACAAGAGGTGGTGGCGGCTACAAGAATGGACGGCTTCAAGAGCGGATTGGACAAAGAATATGGAGCAGAGGTCCATCAGTGGCTATTAGCCACGAGCTATGGATAGGAACTCTCGGTCTGGGGCAAGGGATGCTCTGTATTCTTGGTGCTTGGGGGGGGGGCAACAGTGGGAGGGCTTCTGGAGTTGTGGCCCTGCTGGGGGGAAACCTCCTGATGGCACCTGGGTTTTGGCCACTGTGTGACCCAGAGTGTTGGACTGGATGGGCCAGTGGCCTGATCCAACATTGGCTTCTCTTGTGTTCTTATGTTAAATCTGATGACAGCAGCTTTGACCCTTGGAAATTTATACCCCAGAAATCTCTCTGGCCTCTACAGTGCTACTGAAAGCAAATCCAGCTGTTCCAGCGACCGAAGTTGAACCTACCCAGTCAGTTCACACGAAGGCTCTCCCTTGCCGTGTTCTGCCGAGCAACACACGTTACCGCTTATGTCAAACAATCAACAAGCACCATTGTTTCAGCAATGGCAGACAGGAAGTTTATTCATTCAATTGGTCTTCCCTTGAAAATCTGTCTTCCTGAGCTGGGCTCTTGTGATCTACAGCCAAGCCAACCTCTAACATCCAGTTTTGCTACCAATGCTGGATTTCACGTCAAGAATGCCTCAATCAAACCAGCGTCTCCTCTGGCAGCAGCAGAGGGCTCTTCAAAAACCACCCTCACCTGACAGACGGCCCTCTCTTTCAGGAGCTTCAGGTTTCTTCCTCGCAAGTCTGTCACGACAAATGGCAAAGAGATCTTGTCGTCCTCGTATTCTGAAAGGAGAAACAGTGAAAGGCCTGGCGGAGGAGGACTGCACAGAGAGGCCATCGAAACAGGCCTCGTGAAAAATGACGTTCCTTTACAGAAAGCGTGGAGAGACGGAGATGTAAAGTTTTTTGGGAAATGTGGAGGCCATGGGAGGAGTTTTTCCCTGGGAAAAAGACAGAGCTGCTGCGGGGAAAACTGAAATACATGCAATACGTACACCTGTTCGGTGTCGTGGTTAAGTGTGCGGACTCTAATCTGGGAGAACCGGGTTTGATTCCCCACACCTCCACAAGCAGCTGCTGGATGACCTTGAGCAAGCCACAGTTCTGTCAGAGCTGTCCTTGAAAGAGCAGTTTCTGTCAAGAGCTCTCTCAGCCCCACCTGCCTCACGGGCAGTGTTCCCATTAAGCTGAGTTAGTGTGAGCTAGCTCACAGTTTTTTAGCCTCCAGCTCGCACATTTTTGTCTCAGCTCAAGAAGGATGGCTCCAGAGCAAACTAATTTATGTAGTAGCCACATCTCCCGCTCACAACTTTAATGCCAGCAGCTCACAAAGTACGATTTTTGCTCACAGGACTCCACACAGCTTAGAGCAGTGGTGGTGATGGCACGGGTGCCAGAGGTGGCACTCAGAGCCCTCTCTGTGGGCACGCGTGCCATCGCCCCAGCCAGGCCCAGACCATCATTAAAGTGTCAAATTCTCTGCCAAATAATTTTAAGTAAATGAAAGCATTTGGGATTGCTTTCCTTACTTTGTTTGGATCATCTTAAGTTAATGTATGAGTTGTTTGTTCTAAAGTAAAACCTCGGTATTCAGGTTAAATTGCCGTGTTGGCACTTTGTGATAAATAAGTGGGTTTTGGGTCGCAGTTTGGGCACTCGGTCTCTAAAAGGTTCGCCAACACTGGCTTAGAGGGAACATTGCTCACAGGATGTCTGTTGTGGGGAGGGGAAGGGAAAGGAGATTTGTAAGTCGCTCTGAGACTTCCTTGGGTAGTGAAGGGCGGGGTATAAATCCAATCTCTTCTTCTTCCTATCAAACCTAAAGTTTTTTACTAATTGAACTACAAGAAATGCTTCACTTATGGCTTAGTTAGCTGATAAAACTGTACTGTTGGACATATTTATGGAATTTCAAAGTACAAATGCCTTTATTTCTTAACGAGATTGCAAGCACACCCAATAGTTGAGAAAGCTCTGCAAGCTGCTCCACCCTATGTTACACAGCACGCATATCTTCAACTTTTGCCATATGAAAGGTGGGCAAAAAATAAAAGTTGAAAGGTAGGAGAATTCTGCAGTGAACAAAAGAAAACCCTCCCTCTGCTATGGAAGCTTGCTGGGTAACCATCGGCCAGTCAGACACTTTCAGCCTAGCCTACCTCACAGGGCTGTCGTGAGATTCAGCTGGGTGGCCGTGTGGGTCTGAAGCAAGAGAACAAAATTTTACTCCGGCGGCACCTTTAAGACCAACAAGGTTTTATTCCGAGCATGCACCCGAAAGCTTATATCCAGAATTAAATTCTGCTGGCCTCAAAGGTGCCACTGGACCCACAGAGTCGTTGTGAGGATAAAAATGGAGCCCCCACTGGGGAGAAGAGTGGGGTATAAATGAAGGAGAAGAAGAGGAGATTGGATTTATACCCCGCCCAGTGTTCCTGCTAAGCTCAGTTAGGGTGAGCCAGCTCACAGTTTTTTAGCCTCCGGCTCACAGATTTTCGTCTTAGTTCAGGAAGGAGGTGGCTCCAGAGCAAACTCATTTATGCAGCAGCCAAATCGCTCGCTCACAACTTTAATGCCAGGAGGTAACAAAGAGTTTTTGTTCACAAGACTCAACAGCTTAGAGGGAGCGTTGATTTTCTCCACCCTTCACTCGGAGTCTCAGAGCGGCTGACAAACTCCTTTCCCTTCCCTTCCCCACGACAGACACCCTCGGGGCTGAGGGAGCTCTCTTGAGGACTGCCCTTGAGAGGACAGCTCTGAGAGAACTGTGGCTTGCCCAAGGTCACCCAGCAGCTGCAAGTGGAGGAGTGGGGAACCAAACCCGGTTCTCCCAGATGAGAGTCCGTGTGCTCCTAACCACGACACCAAAGGTTGAGATGGTATGTTCTGCTGGTGCCTGCTCAAAGCCTTTCTCTGCAGGTATGTCAGCCCTATAGGAGAGCCTTCCGGAAGGAGCTACAAGGACTTTACTTCTCTTGGATTTTCATAAAGGCTGCGAGACAAAACTCTTGCAACCCTCTGAAGTCTCTTGATGGCTTCTACAGTCTGTTGGTTCTAAGGGGCATCATTGCCGTACGGATTTTATTTCTTAGACTTCTGCCCGTTTCAGTCCTCTGACGTTTTAAACTGCCTGTGATTTATATGGCTTTTAATCTAGCCCCTTCGGACCCCAGCTGTCTGAGAGAAAGGCAAAGTTCTTAACAGACACACATCGACAGAAAGCAGAACCAACTTCCAAACACTTCTGTCAAGACGACTTCCCAACCACAGCTGCAAAGGTCCCTGGGGCAGCCACACGGAGGTCTCCTAACCCGCTACCGGACTTGCGTAAGAAGGGAAAAGCCACAGGACTTGAAGACACAACGAGAAGTCGGAGCTGCTGGCGGGCGTGCCATGAGGCAGAACTTATCAAAGGCCTGAGGTTGAGAAAAGCTTTGGAAGCACTGGAAAAGCACCGGAAAAAGTGCAGAAAGGGGCAACTAGATTGATAAAAAGGGTTGGAACACTTTCTCTATAAAGAGAGGCTAAAGCGCTTGGGGCTCTTTAGCTTGGAGAAACGACGGCTGAGGGGTGACATGATCGAGGTTTATAAGGTTATGTGTGTAGCGCGGAGCGTTGAATTGACCTTAGACCAAATGCGCAGTTATGCCAGCTGAGTGCTAGCAATAGCAAGCCACACAGACACAGTGCTGTGCGTAACTATTTACAGTTTATTTACATATATATATATTTTCTGGAGCTCACTGACAAAGTGCTCCGCAATACAGTCATAGAGGAGAAGGAGAATAACTTGCAGACACTATACATTTATATACAAGCTACAGCCAATCAGCACACACCACTGAGTCATTGTTACTGATCTGTTCAGCTCCTGCTTGAACCGGTCTCTTCTGGCCTCTGTGGCTCTCATAGCTGTCATCTAGATGGGTGAGATCACCAGGTCTGATGTCTTACCTAGGCATGTATGCCAACAATGTGTAGGATAGAGTAGGTAGAGAAAGAAGTCCTTTTCTCCCTTTCTCACAATACAAGAACTCCTTGTGGGCACTCCATGAAATTGCTGAGTGGTCAGGTTAGAACGGATAAAAGGAAGTACCTCTTCACCCAAAGAGTGATTAACATGTGGAATTCACTGCCGCAGGAGGTGGTGGTGACTACAAGCATGGACGGCTTCAAAAGGGAATTGGATAAACACATGGAGCAGAGGTCCCTCAGTGGCTATTAGCCACGAGCTATGGATAGGAACTCTCAGTCTGGGGCAAGGGATGCTCTGTCTTCTTGGTTGTTGGGGGGGGGGTCAACAATGGGAGAGCTTCTAGTGTCTTCCCGGCCCCACTGCTGGACCTTCTGATGGCACCTGGTATTTTTGGCCACTGTGTGACACAGAGTGTTGGACTGGTGGGGCCATTGGCCTGATCCAACATTGGCTTCTCTTATGTTCTTATAAGAGGGAATTGGATAAACATCTGGAGCAGAGGTCCATCAGTGGCTCTTAGCCA